GTAGGGATGTTTGGTGCATCCAGGTCTCCCTCAGGGCAAAGCAGCATGGACACGAGATGGGGTAAAACGGTCGCGAAGCACTCAAGCTCAAAGTGCCTGTCCTCAAGGACGTCACTGCCAAGGGCAAGCTCACCCCCGACGGACAGAGGAGAGTCAGACTCATAATTAGTAACAAGACTCGCAAAGAAGTCGAGACGACAGGTAGCAGCAAAGTCAACGAGTTCAGTGACTAAGGGAGTCGCTGCAGCAGACTCAAATGAAGGGTCAGTGACAAGTGTAGCCAAGAAGCACGTGAGAGTAGGACTAGCAGCACATGCAAGGTCGGACTTGGGGTCAAGAATGTCAAAAAGAGAGGACACCGGAGGAGACGGCAGAGCAACACGCTGTGGAACAGAGGAAGGACGAAGTGCCATAGTGTGCGTGCCGGGGACAGGTGGAGGATGAGGACGACGAGCACGACAATCAGTGCGAACAGGTGAGGCAGGACAAGACTCAAGTTCACGGCGCTCTGCCAGGAAGCCTGTCTATGTAGGGTACGGAGAAGGAGCAGGCAATGGAGAGCCAGGCAGTAAATGTGGCTGTGACTGGTCAGGCGGAGGACATAGGAAAGGAGGAGTAAGGCCAGTAGAAGATGGAAGACTAAGAACCTGACGAATTGCCAAGTCAGGCGGTGGCACGGACGGCTGCGGCTGTGGGTAGAAAAACGATCGTCGCGGCGTGGTACCCATAGTACCAGAGCCTCCAAATCCAGGACCTCCAGCACCTCCACCTCCAGCACCTCCAGCACCAGTAGCTCCAGTACCTCCAGCACCAGCAGCTCACCAGTACCTTCAGCACCTCCAACTCCAGTACCACCAGCACCAGCACCTACAGCTCCAGTAGCTCCAGCTCCAGCACGTCCAGATCCGCCACCGGGGCTGCCCCACCGGGCAGCCTACTCGGGAAGCCGCTCTGGCGAGAGAGTCTCCTGCCGACGTGCACCAGTACCTCCAGCACTAGCGCCTCCAGCACCAGTACCTCCAGCACCGCCAACTCCAGTAACACCAGCACTAGCACCACCAGCTCCAGTACCTCCAGCACCTCCTGTACCCGTAGGACACTCAGCACCCCCAGAGCCAGCACCCCCAGAGTCCGCACCCCTAGTGTCACCACCTCCTATAGCACCAGAGTCCACAGCGATGGGCTGTTGAGGCGGAAACCCAGGAGGGGCCGCCAAGCGCGTTGAGCTGCGAGGGGCCACGGTGTCGGCAGCAGTCGAGTCACCCCCCTCAGCTGGGCCAGAGGTGTCGGAGGAGACCTCCAACGGCGCAACCAAGGGGGACGGGTCAACGTGGGAGACAACTGAAAGGGTAGGACCCTGCGGGTGGAGGGGGGCTACCGGGGGGGGGGGTCGGGTATCAGGAAGAGAGGCGGGAGGGGCATGGGGGAACTGCGGTGGGGGTGGAGACGGTAGAAGCAGACAGACTCGTCAAAGGTGACGTCCTGGGAGGAGAGGATACGACGAGAACCCGGGTGGTAAAACTGCCAGGGCGGGGCGTAAATAGGGAAGCCAAGGAAGGCGCATCGAAGAGTGCGAGGAGAGAGCTTGCCTGCGGGAGGATCGCAGACAAGAGAAAGGGAACCCCAGACCCAAAACGCCGACGCATCACCAACCTCTCCCGTCCACCGCAGAGTAGGGGAGGTCTCCGGGTGGGAGACACGGGGCCAGAGGTTGAGCTTCTCAGCAGCGTATCGGACCGCAAACGGCCACAGAAAATGGGGAGCAACCGCATGGACGATGGAGGTGCGAGCAACCTCCATGACCAAGCCAATGTAACGCTCTACAATCCCATTCTGCTGCCGAGAGGCCGGAAGCGTGAACGACTGGGCGATGCCCTTAGCACCACAGAAGTCATCGAGGAGGCGGGAGAAAAACTCACCACCTCGGTCAGAGTGCAGCCGCAGGACCAGGAGGTCCTGCCGGAACCGACCGCTGAGCTGGCGACGGACAGCACGGATCCAGTGGATCAACACACTGCGGACATTCGCCTTGCTCTGCAAGGGGAAGACCGTGGTGTAGCGCGTATAGTCGTCAACAACCATCAAAAAGTAATGCTCTCCGCCCTGTCTAGTGACGCAGGCGGGACCCCACACGTCCATGTGGAGGGTCTGCAGAGGAGCTGTGGTCGTAGCAAACGAGGAGTGAGGAGTGGCGCGCTACCGCCCCTCGACGCGGGGAAGGCACGGCGGCGCAAGCAACCTCGGGAGTGGGGGCAGGGACCTGGGGAGGCCAGACACAAGGAGACGGAAGTGCATGCTACGCAGGCGTGGCAAGGAGCGGTGGCCAAGACAGTTTTGCCAGAGGAGAGTCTGGTGCATGAGGAGACGACACGAACAAGACGTAGCTACCTCAACCGACGCAACTACCTGACCTGACTCAGCCACCTGTGCAGACTCAGTGATCAGTGTGTACAGACCAGACCCGGGCCTCCGAGTGAACGCCAGTGCGTGAGTCCGTACAGATCGCCACGAGCTCTCCCCCAGGCTGGGTAACAGTGACAAACTAGGCCTATATGACAGCTGTAGCCACCAAGTTCCTAGCGAACGAGGGGAGGTGGAAACCTGTGAGGGAACCGGAGGGGGCTGCCGGGCATGGGAGAACAATGGAGCTACGTGCAACAACGGTGCCACCAGAGGGGTCGGCCAGACTGAGAGGGACCTGGTCTGTGAGCGGTGTGACTGTGGTGTAGTCGCGGAAGAAGCAGCGAGACGCACCTGAGTCGAGTAGGAAAGTGTGCAAGGCCTCCTCAGGCTCTGCACCTGTGCTAGCTGAGTCACAAGCCCCTATACTAGCAACCTCTACACCACCAGGTGCCTCTACACCCCCATCACTAGTACCCCAAGCTCCGCCACCGGGGCTGCCCCACCGGACAGCCTACTCACGAAGCTGCTGCGGCGAGAGTGTCTCCGGCGGACGTTGCTGCCGCCGCTGTCCACCCCCAGGACCTCCACGGCCACCAGCTGCACCACCAGAAGGAGTAGACGTACAGGTACCTACACTCGCCGCCTCGACCAACTGCTGTACCTCCCCTAACAATGGGCGGCTCTGCCGCAGTGGCCGGGTGGCAGGAGAGAGTGAGGAGTAGTGCCTAACCACAACGTCGTAGAGACTGTGGGCCGACGTCACCTGACGAATGTGGGTCCTCTGGTCGACCGGCAAGTGAGCGCAAAGATCAAGCTCTGCGACAACGCCGCGTTCCGTCCACTGTGTGTAGGCAGTCCGCCTGGTACTGCCGCCGCATGGTCTCGCCAGCGTCAGCAGTAGGCTCAGCGGGAGTCGTGGGGGCCTGAAGAGACCCCGACGTGTTCTCGAGCAGGGAGACACCGGAGATATCAGTGTAGGCCCTCGAGCCAGAACTCGAACATGAAAGGGCGCCCGTCGGCGTCAACCGCTAGGATAGTGAGAGTGGCCATGGCAGGCAGTGGCAGTAGTAGCAGCGGCGGAAGGGTGGCTGGGGAAGCGCGCGAGTAACTGGGTGCGCTAGCTCGGGCCGCTCACGAAGCAGAGCAAGGGTGCGCTGAGAGCGCTGGCAGGGCAGGGCGCGGGCAGCTCTAGCAGCACAGGGAGGGCAGGCGGGCGCGGGCAACACGTGCGGGACAGGGCAGGTGCGCGTGCGGGGAAGGGCAAGCGCGCTTGCGGGCAGGGCAGGCACACGCAAGCAGGCGCGCGTAGGCAGCGCGTGCGTGGCAGGGTAGGGAGCACGGGGCAGGGCAGGTGCACTGGGCAAGGCACACGCGCGCGGGCAGGGCGGGCTGCAAGGGCAGGGCGCACGCGCGCCGGCAGGGCTCACGCGCGCCGGCAGGGCAGGGCAGCTGCGCGCGCAAGGCATCAGCGCGGGGCAAGGTGCACGCGCGCGGGCAAAGCGCTTATGGGGCAGGGCACAGGTCGTTGGGCAGCAGGGCGCGCTAGCGCGCTGGGCAACAAGGCGCGCTTGGACGCTGGGCAACAAGGCGCACTTGGACGCTGGGCAGTAGGGCGAGCTGGCGCGCTGGGAAGCGGGGCGCGCTGGCGTGCTGGGCAGCAGGGCGCGCTGGCGCGCTCGGCAGCATGGCGTGCCGGCGCGCGTGGCAGCAGGGCGCACTGGTGCGCGGGGCAGCAGGGCGCGCGAGGCATGCAGGGGCGCGCGGGGCAGTGCGCACGCTAGCGGGCAGGGCAGCAACCGGGCAGGGCAGAACGAATGGTGGGCCATAAAAAAAAAAAAAACGGTCCTACGGGGCGAACCGCTCTGAAACCATGTCAGAATAAACGAGCAGGAATGGTTGACTAGAAGCATGAGATGAGTACAAGTACTAGGTCTAGCCCGAAAGTGTTGTACCCAGTAGAGGCTACCCCACTACAACCTACAGATTTACACACACTGTTTGACAATAGGGGGCCGACCAAGCAGGAGCGAGGGAGCTTGAGTGGGCAATAGATGGTTGGCCTAGTGAGCAATAAATCGATGGATCGAGCTTGCAACAGCCAGGAAGATTTTGCATTGGTGAATGGATTGGAGCCTGTATTGCCCATAACAACAGAAACAAGAAAGTTCGACGAGACGTGAGGCAGCAATCGCGATGGTGGAGCAGCTTTTGAGCCAAACAGGATGGCAGCTATAAGGCTACGCAGCAGCCAGGGGTGGTCAACTGAAGGACAAGCAATAGCGCCTGCAACTCTTTACCAAAGGTGGAGACGGAGGGAAACGCAACGTGGTGGTCAAGACACACATGCGCGCAAGCGACAATAGGGGTGTTCCGAGAATTGAACTCGGGACTTCTCGCACCCTAAGCGAGAATCATGCCACTAGACCAAACACCCGCGTTCTTGTACTGAATATTAATAATTCTGAGAAAAAACGCAAACCCGATAGTTCAAGCTAGATACAAAGACCACATACAGACAGATCACTTTGTTCAACCGGTACAAGTTGCCATACTGTATTTGTTATTGGAATGACCTTGCGTGTATCTTGGAGCCCACACTAGTTCAAAGGACGAGGAGAATGTTCCCCATACGTTACCGTTGGCAACCTGAAATTGAAAAGGCGTTAGCAAACAGTAAGCCCGAGGCAGCAGCCTTCACTTTACTATAACAATCTACAAACCCATAATTCAATCCACCGTTCTAGTCACTGGAATTTCCCAGAAACTCTTGAAGCCTGAGACTCTCCCACTTTTGGGAGGGCTCAAGGGATTGACTCTACACCCTCACACCACATCACATGCTGTAAGGGCCACGAGCAGCAATGGGACCATTGGGGGTAGGAGGAGGCGGGGTGGGGGCGGTGACAAGAGCAGCTGCGTCTTCATCCCAGTCAGACTGGTACTCGGGTTCAGGCTCAGGTACGTACTGAGGCGCATGAGGCAGCAGTGCTTCTTGGGAGACTGCTGAGAGCATCTTCATCTCCAAATCGTCCTCCACCACTAGGTTGCGCATGCCCTCATGCAGCGACACAAGCTCCTGTTGAGGTTAGGCAGGGAGGGAGAGGTTTGAGTCGATTCACAATGCAGCAGTGCTTCCTGGGAGACTGCTGACAGCATCTTCATCTCCAAATCGTTCTCCACCACTAGGTTGCGCATGCCCTCATGCAGCGACACGAGCTCCTGTGGAGGTTAGGCAGGGAGGGAGAGGTTTGAGTCGATTCACAATGCAGCAGCACCTCTTGAGAGACTGCTGAGAGGCGCTTCATCTCCAAATCGCCTTCTACAACTAGGTTGCAGATGCCCTCATCCAGTGATACAAGCTCCTGTTGAGGGAGAAGGGAGGAGAAGGTCAGGATGTGACTGATTAAGAGCTGCTTCTCGTGACTGGGATCAGTTCCTGTGGTTGCAAATAGGAGAGGGTGAGATCAGAATATGCGCATGCAGATTAATCAGCGGGGTGAAGGGACTGGTGAGAGCTGCTTCATGTCAAGGTCTCACTCTTCAACACCCAGAGTGAACATACCTCGGCAACTGTGCAAGAACTGAAAACTGTAAATTTTACATATACGGAAGTCAGATTTCACAACCCATATTGTGGACCCTTCATGCTGTTCCACAAGTGCGTATGAAAAAAAGAGTGATGAGGAGGAACATTGATGACAAGAGTGGCAGGATGGAAGGATGGGGTTGTCTCAGGGGTTGTGGGGGACAGCTGTGTCAGGAATGTGGAGGCCAGATGACAAAATGGCCGAGCGAAGTGGTTTAACTGAAGTAGTGGGATGCACTGCAAGGGGACTTACACCAGCATTATTCCGTGCTGATTGCGCGATGACGTCGAGTGCCAGGATGGGGAAGGGGTTTTCAATGAGCACTCCAACCTCCTCGATGCAGAAAAAGATGGCCGCACACGTGGCAGTCACAGGGATGGTGAGCCAGCCGAGGGGGTCCCACAGGGCGAAAGGCAGGAACATGTGGTAGAGGACGAGGAAGCGCGAGGTGAGGCGCGTGTAGGAGAGCGGGATGGGCGTCTTGAAGAGACGCTCGCTGCCTCCGATGTCATCCGCGAATGTCGCGAAGTTGGCCTCCTGGAGAATGCAGGGAGTAAGAGAATAGGGATGAGAAGACTCGTCAAGGATATGAAGAGCAACGCGGAGCTAACTCTGGCTCCAGATACCCTGGTTCAGCCCACCAAAGAAAATGGATCATCTGGCTCCGCCCAAAGGTTCAGTGATCACCTGCTTCAGAAAACCAGAGATTTGGGTATTTATCTGCTTCAGCCCACCAAAGGTGCCTGTGGATGGGACTCTGGAGCTCGTTTAAAGTTCAATACCATAGCCGCTTCTGTATGTTAAACTTTGGATGTGAGCATATTCTGCGGATTCCCAGAAACGAGTTCTCTTTTTGAAAGTATTACTCAACAGACGAGAACAAATTCGGAACTCACCATGGCCACGCGGTGCATTGGTTCCATGTGGCACGAGCGCATGCACTCCGACATCATCTGAAGCACGTAGTTGGGCCTGTGGGTCGCCCCCAGTATCCCTGCAATCTCCTCGTCGGATAGAGTGGTGAATTGCTGCAAGGAACGTGTAGAATGCACACAACCAGCGTCAACCAAGTTACACCTCAAAGAAAGCCAATCTAGTGAATTTTACCACCAAGTAGTTCTTGTGCTTAAGAGCGACAATGAGTCAGACGGGTGCTACTCACACGGAGGTCTTCCTCCAGAGATCCTTCTTGCAGGAAATGGTGCTTGTAGGTGAGCGCGAACGCCTGCAGGTGGCGGATGAACTGAGCGCGCTTGGGGTACTCGTACGTGTACTGGTCGCGAGCCATGTACGACAGAGCCTGTCGCGTGATGTCGCGCGTGCGATTCAGCATGAGCCCCCACATCTTGCGAGCCTGCAGGATGAACGAAACAAATTGATCATAGTCGGCTACAAACCACTCCAACAGAAGACGCTCAAGGTTTCAGTCCTCACACATCAAACGATAGCAGGTTACTGTAATAATCGAGAAGGCTGAAATTTCGAACACACCTCGTCGAATCGGCCATAGCTGGCATTGGTCCGGAACACGAGGAGGAAGGAGAGAGCAGGTGCCGTGAGGGTGTACGGGAGGTTGGACATGTGTAGCACGGGGACCCACTCGGGCAATGCACCCATCGTGACCAGCTCATTCCACCCCACCACACCGGCTGCGATCCCAGTCATCACGGAAACTGCGGGTCCGAGCGCGCCGATAACCTTAGACGTAAGCATGGACTTCATGTGACGGAAGTAGCGGCCGCTAGATTTGTGTTTCTGGAGACAACAAGGCGTTCACGAGATTGAAAAAGAATCAGACTTAGAGAAGTTTTCCGTTGCCAGATGCTAGAAGGAAACATGAAACGACGACTTATACACGGTTCGTCAGTGAAAGTGAAGGGAAGGTGAACATCAATGTGAACGTGATGCACCTTCCAGTCATCATGGCCAAACACCACCCGTCGCAACACCAATGCCTCGAACTTCTTCTCATCGATGGTGCTAACATCGACCAGGTTTTTAGGAACCACTGCCTTCACCACCAGGGGTCCTCTAGCCTTCTTCTGCACAGTCTGAGCTTTAGTGACAGCGACGCTATTCTTGCGAAGAGAAACACTTCTCAAGGAACCCTCGGTCCAGTCCTGCAGGCCTGCAGCTTGAGCCTTCAGGCTGGTCTGAGCAGGAGACAGAAACATGGAGGTGCGTGATGCGACACTCGTGGCCGCCATTTTCGTCACGGAGCTCAGTCACTGGCTAAAGAAATCGAGGTTCCTGTTATTACCCCTGGACGTTCAGGAACGTAACTACTGGATGGAGATACCGTACGCCTTTTCCGAATCCCAACTTCTGTGCGTCGGAATAGGTGTGCTTACACCCTCATATCAGAAAGCTATTGCTGCCACCTGGTTGGTGAAAGCAGGCAGAAATGCCGACATTCACGATTGACAGAGCCACACACAGCGTCGGTCTCAAGTTCAACTCAACTCATATCTCGATCTTTCTCGCTGAAACGAGGCAGTTTGTCTGAACTGGAGCCGAGCATCAGAGCCGTTGGATTTGAGATGGCATGGCTTCCAGACGAAATGCGTTGGCTGATTCATGTGATCGAAGCGAGCTGATTGGCTTCTTGATGACCCCACGGGAAGTGAGGTGACTGGAAGGCCGAGCGAGTCTGGCGTGTGCTGACGGAATCAAAGAGTCAGCAGGGTGATTGATGTCCGCGTATCAACTCATGTGATCTGACCAGATACATGACATGTCAGCTTAGCCTGCCGTCAAAACGGGGACTTGGGAGAGTGGGGCTGCTAGCTGGCCGACCTCAAAGTCACAAGCTAATCCACGTGTCATTGTCTCGGCTGGACCAAGGTTGATCACTTGCCACCCGAGTTTGCTCTACGATGTCCTGGGCCCCGGGGCACGAAGCCTTTTCATTTTCGCGCAGGCAGTTTGTTTTCGCCAGCACCTCTGAACATCGCCCACCATCACAGCCGATTTAAATGTGAACTTCCCGATGCTTGGTGTGTGGTGTGCCTGGCAACTTCAGCTGGCCTTCACTGAGCTTTTCTTGGAGCTCAAGCAGTACTCAATCTAAGCAGTCAGCTCAGGGCGTATCCCTGGGTGAGGCAGGGCCACTGTAGATGGCAGGCGGTTTTTGCGGATGCCACGAATCCCTATAACAGCAGGTTGGTGGCACAAAATTGCCAAACATAAGCTGCAAGGCGATTGGTCGAACGAACGTATCGCATGGTTGGGTTGGGTCACACGGTCCACCCACCACATCGCATATCCCTACCTATCTCCCTCGCAAACTGGGCTCGCACACTCCACGTTCGAGCTCTCACATGCCGGTAAACTTCCCAGCCCACCAACTGCTGCCATTGGTCGGGACAGGACCGTGCATGACCCCTCCTTTCAGGGTCACCCAACTTCATTGCATCGTCAAGTTTACCAGTTGCCAGTGCCAGGTGTCGAAGATCTCAAATGGTAGTAACCGGTTTGACATTTGGAGTGGTATCGCACGCTGGCAGTGATTGGTTGCTTCTTCTCGTGTGCGACCGTCGCACAATTTGTTGTGGTTGCCACGAACTGCGAGCCGCGGGCGGTTCGAGCACAATGTTGATGGCATGCGGTTTTCCCGCATGCCACCAACAGTGCCTGCTACAGTGGCCCTGCCACCACCCAGGGATACGCCCTCAGTTGGCCTTTTTAGAAGAATATAAATGCTGGTAAGCTCGAGCTTGAAAAAGCGAATGCATTGCTTCCTATCTTTTGGAAATATGAGACAGTATCACACATGTAAGGTAACAGTTGATCACACAGCCAGAAAATGGTCGATACAATCTCCACACTGCATCAGACACATCAGATAGCAAATGGTTGGAGAACAAGCAAATTATCAAAGCTTGAAAGCTTGAGGCCGCAGTATCTTTCATGGCATGATGGATGACGTTAAATCCAATTTCAAATCAATTATTCACGTACATGGCCCTTTACAACCAATACCTGGCAAAAAATAAATTACAAGCCAGGGTTTGACAATTGATGCAGCCTACTAAATATTTAATCGCTGTAGGGACCGCGCACAGCGATAGGGGTCACAGGAGTTGCTGGGGGAGGGGGAGGAGGGGCCAGAGCAGCAGCGTCTTCATCCCAGTCCGACAAGTAGTCAGGCTCGGGCTCAGGCACAAACTGAGGCGTCTGCAGTAGGGCCTCCTGCTTGCGGGCAGACAAATTCTTCATCTCGAGATCATCCTCGGCAACAAGGTTCCTGATACCCTCGTGCAGGGCAACGAGCTCTCCGGCGTTGTTGCGCGCCGATTGGGAGATGACGACAAGAGCGAGAATCGGGAAGGGGTTCTCAATAAGCACTCCGACCTCCTCAATGCAGAAGAAGACAGCCGCACACGTGGCAGTCACGGGGATGGTGAGCCACCCGAGGGGGTCCCACAGAGCGAAAGGCAGGAACATGTGGTAGAGGACGAGGAAGCGCGAGGTGAGGCGCGTGTAGGAGAGCGGGATGGGCGTCTTGAAGAGACGCTCGCTGCCTCCGATGTCATCCGCGAATGTCGCAAAGTTGGCCTCCTGGAGAATTGAAGCACAAGGAACAGCACAGACGAAGTGCACCGATGAGACTGAGCACGAGACAGAGCCTCTAAGAAATTGTACGGTCTATTGTTTATGAAAGGACTGCCTGGCCGTGACACGAAGCATACTGTGAATTTCAGCATGGGTTAAAAAAACGCAATGTTTCCTTAGTGGAATTTGTTGATACTACGTATGGCCACACTCTACGAGGCTTACCATGGCGAGGCGGTTGACGGGCTCCATGGTGCACGAGCGCATGCACTCCGACATCATCATAAGCACGTAGTTCGGCCGGTGGGTTGCCCCCAATACTCCCGCAATCTCCGCGTCTGTCAGACTGGTGAGGTCCTGCATTGGGTACCGGTGAGAAAAGAAGAAAGAAGCACATATTTGATTTGAGCTGAAACTACACCCCATTTCGTATGCTCAAAGTACCAACCAATATACGAAATTACCGGGGGAAAACAAAAAAAAAACGCTATGAAGGCCGGGATTGGGTGAATGAGTGGAATTTACCCTGAGATCCTCCTCAAGCGAGCCCTCTTGGATGAAGTGGTGCTTGTAGGTGAGCGGGAACGCCTGCAGGTGGCGGATGAACTGAGCGCGCTTGGGGTATTCGTACGTGTACTGGTCGCGAGCCATGTACGACAGCGCCTGTCGCGTGATGTCGCGCGTGCGATTCAGCATGAGCCCCCACATCTTGCGAGCCTGCAGGTATGAAGAGCGCACGTAGGAAAACAAAAAATAGTGTGTTGAGTGCTGTGAGAATATAAAAGATAGCGTTTCCCAATGAAATGTGAAGGCGGAAGAGAAATTCATAATCTGCGTCAGCAACACATGTCTCGACAATTCAATTCTCCATCCTGCTCACCTCATCGAAACGGCCGTAGCTGGCATTGGTGCGGAAAACCAGGAGGAAGGAGAGGGCAGGCGCGGTGAGGCTGAAGGGGAGGTTGGAGATGTGCAGCACGGGAGCCCACTCGGGCAAAATATTCATCACGACCATCTCGTTCCACCCCACCACCGCCGCCGCGATGCCCGTCATCACGGACACTGGCGGGCCAAGCGCGCCGATGACCTTGGAGGTCAGGATGGAGCGCAGGTGCTTGAAGTAACGGCCGCTCGATTTGTGTTTCTGTAAGGAGCGGGGAGGGGGAGCGTGGCGAAGAAGGGAGGAGCAGAGGAGGGCGGAGGGAAGGGGGGGAGAAAATTGGGAATATTACGTGAGAAAAGAGAGAGAGGGTGGAGCTAGAGCAGGTCGAAGAGGGAGAAGGGAATGAATGACACAATTGCGTGAACTACAGGACAGATCCTTTCTGAGTGAGACATGTGTATTTAATAGATACGAGGGTTGGAGGCACAAGGCAAGAGGTTGGCGTCAATGCTTCTTACCTTCCAGTCGGCATGGTCGAAGACGACGCGGCGAGAGACAAGCGCCTTGAACTTGACTTCATCAGCTGCGTTGATGTCCACGAGGGCATTAGGCGCCATGGCCTTAACCACCATGCGGTTCTTGCCATTGGCATTCTGACGGGACTGTGCCTTGCTGGCTGCGGGCCTTGTGCTCTTAAGGGAGATGCTTCTAATGGAGCCCTCGGAAAATTCCTGGAAAGACGAGGGCTTCGCGCCAAGCGAGGAGGTGGCTGCGAGCTTCAGGGACGAGCCAGCGGCAATGCTGGTGGAAGCAGCCATGGCGACGAAGTAACTAGACGTAATTTACCGACAAATTGGAGGCGACTTCAGATTTGGCCAATGCTCCTCTTTATATCTAATGCCTGGTCGGGCAAAGTGATGGATAATTCAGGTCGAACCGCGCTGAGCTTGGTTGGCTGGGGTGTGCGGTGGTGGAGGGAAGGGGGAGCAAGTGATGGCTTGCGGCTGGCGGAAGTAGGAGCCTCCAGGTTCCGCCCGCCACGAAAGACCAAGGATTCCCGCGCTGGTACACTGTAATGGAAAGATGCACTTACCCATGGTAGAAAACGATGAATGGCTAGGATTGCCTGGGCTGACTCAGGAAGTCGATCTTGGTAGGCGTTGGTTGTGGAGGGGGACCCCGTAAGGTGTTGATGATTGGTCCAATCTGCTGTCCACGGTTCCTGCCACGTAGGTATGGGACCCATCCCCCATATCCTGAAAAGTCGGCAACCTGTCTGGGTGAGTCAAGGCGAGCCAAGTTTAGGGGAGATCTGAACCTGGCTGTCCACGTGGCGAGGATAAATGCCTCACATTGCAGATGCCACCACAGAAGTATTCGAAATTGCAATTCATGAACTTGATACATCTCCACCACTGTTGCCAATGAAAAGCTGGGACAAGGTGTAACCAGGCAACCAAAGTGTCACTTGCTTGCTCGCTCCCGAGAACGTAAAGATCTATTCAAGAAACAAGGAACTTGAAACAAGGTTGCAATATCACCTAACTCCGACACTGCCTACAATCCCGAACAAGTTGGGTACTTTCTGACCTGGTCCAGCAGGCTTTTGCGAACACTTTTAGCAAATCAGGAGTACTGCGAAACCAAACTTGCACCACAAACTCCGCACGGGTGTTCTGCCACCTTCATGTATCACGACGCTTCGTTCATTCAAACCCGCTTCAGTTCATTTCTCAATCAACACAATGCCTGAAATTTCATATGGCGTCAACTTGACTCCTCTGCTGATTCCCACTTTTCTCATCCCCCCCAGCACAAATTCACCACACCTCCACCACCATCATCCGCTTATCAATTATTATTTTCACCTCCTACTATCACCATACACCCTGAATTTACACCTTGATACATCAGCCTCAAATTTACCATTGCTTGCTGCTTGCGTTGTTCCCTTCCCCCTCTCCAACAGTCACATCTTCCTCATGAACACTGGCCGAATTTCACAAACTAGTACTTCTTCCGCTTTGATGTTAACACCATACTCAGCGCTCAGCAGGGGCCTGCTTCGATCAGTGTGGATAGTTGTTCGAAATTTCGACATAGATTTTATCCATGAAAGCTATATCGGTAGAGCCTATCTGACAATTCCGGCTCTCAGCCTTTCCCCTTTCCGACCGACCCCTGCTTCCCCGAGCAGGAATTCACACTCTGCTTCGCAAGGGCTTCAAGAAAACTGCATTTTGCACCCAAGACAGGAAGGTGTGCATGCCAGAAGATGATGATAAGAAGACAGCTTCACACCACAGGAGGAATATGTCACGTAAGAGGTAGGGACAGCAGGTGGAATGTGGAGATACGCGCATTTCCGAAGAAAGCTGTACAATTCTACGAACAGGAATATATTATCAGCAAAGCAACAAAAACAAATTGCTGCATAGCACCCTAGCTGAGAAAGCAAAGCACTGTATAAAGGCACAGCTACAAAAGCCTCCAGCTTGCAAGGACCTATACTGGCTCTAACAATCCTATCTACACTCATAAGCTCTTCCCCTTACACTAAGAACCTAATCTCTAACACTACCTATGGCTAATCATTTTCTAAATGACTAGCATCTAAATGGCTGGCACGGCACCAACCATGTGTTCCCCCATGCTGCCTCCCCCACTTGCAGGGGTGCCAGTGCTCCTACAGGCTGCCACGTCATACCCTGCCATGTCATACCCTGCCATGTCATACCTCCCAACACCTTCTCCATTTCCCCTGAGAAAGTCTCCCTCCTCATCCTCGCTGTAGTAATCCTCGACTTCATCACAGAAGTAGTTCTCCTCCTCTTGTCTCTGAGGAGCCTCAATAGACAGAGGCTCTTCAGTGAAATCCCCTTGCACTGTCACCAGCTGCTCCTCCTGTATGCGTGGATGTCCCTCAAACCCTTCGTTAATCTCCATCTCGTCATCGAACCGTTCTGTAACGCCTTGAAAATCTCCCAAACCAGTCATCCCATCCATGAGATCAATCCCCTCCAAGCCGTCAAGCCTATCCAGGCCGTCCATTCCTGCGAGCCCATCCAGACCGTCCATCATGTCCAGCAGGCCACCGATGTATTCAACCCCTCCAATGTCACCGGAAGAGGCAAATACTGCACCGTACAAACCACTTGCAGCAGCAGCAGGTGCAGCAGCAGCAGGAGTGGCATCAATCGGAGCAGCAGCAACGGCAGGAGCAGCGCAATAAGCCACAGCACGAACGCCAACAGGAGCAACGCTGCAGAAATTGGACGCAGCAGCTCGCTGCAACCCATACCGACTCTCCTGTTGCTGCTGCTCTTGCCACTGCTGCGTCTGCTGCTGCTGCTGCTGCTGCTGCTGCTGCCCTCTCCCTTCATTTCCAGGATCTTTCCCTTTCGTGCCTGAATCGCTAACGCCTTGTCCCTTCCCCTGCGCCCCCCCCTGTACGCTGCCCTGACCGTCGCCCCTCCCACTCGCCCCTGCGCCACCCCGGTGCCCACCTCCCTGCCCATCGCCCTCATCCGAGCTTCTCCGAAGCACCACCTCCTCCCCAAAGCACCGTCTGTACACGTCCCTTAGACTCATCACCTTCAGTTGCTCCTCCTCACTCTCCTCCTCACTCCCCTCCTCACTCTCCTCCTCACTGTCCTCCTCATTCCCCTCCTCATCCTCCTCATCACCCCCCTCCTCTCCTTCCTCCCTCTCCTCCTCACTGCCCTCCCCTGCCCCTGCTCCCTGTTCGACCTTCTCCTCAATGCTTTCCCTGTCGTTGAAATCGGCTGCCTCGTCCTCACTTTCAGCTTCCCCACCCTCCCCACCAGCCCCCTCCTCTCCCTCCTCCTCAGCACCTTCTCCTCCTCCCTCGCTTCCTCCCTGGTTTCTTATTTCCCCCTCTCCACCTTTGGTAAGAAACCTTACATATCCCGTTTTTTTCCCCTCCGTCTCCTCCTCCTGCTGCTTCTTTTGATTCAGCTTCTGCTGCCTCTGCGTCTGCTTCTTGTTCTGCGTCTGCACCTGCTCCTTGTGCTTCTCCCCGTGCTGCTGCTGCCTTCGCCTCTGCCCCTTCTCCTCAGACCGTTTCACCTGCAACCTTAGCAGCGCCAGTGCAGGAAGCACCGAGTCAAGCGGGTCTTCCGAGTCAACAAACTGGTACTCCTCTTCCTCCTCTGCCACCTCAGCAAGACCAGCGGCAGAAACGTTACCAGCACCAATGTGGTTACCAGGACCAGTACTGTTAGTACGACCAGCAGCAGCAGCAGCAGCAGCAGCTACAGGGAAACCGCCTGTGTAGCCAGCAGCAGCACTCTCAGCCTTCAGCGTTACTCCCTTGGTGTTGCAGCCTAGAGGGGAGGGAGAATGCCACTTCTGCTGCTGCTGCTGCTGCTCATGCTGCTGGTTGAGGCTGCTGGTAGGGTCGGGCAGAGGCGTGCTGGTAACGAGGGGTGGTGTGCTAATAACTGGAGATGGATGCCTGCTGACCTGCGCAGAATGGGGAAAAGGGAAAGACGGGGAAATCTTTAGTCCAGAGCGAAAAATGGTCCTTCAAGGGGAGAAAGGAGGGGAAGTGGGTCTTGGCCAACGTTATGCTTCTAAGGGAAAGTGAGTCGGAATTGATGGGGAAAACGGTGAGGTGGATTTGTGTGCTTGTGTGAGGGATAGCGAAAGTGGGTGAGGAGGGGATGATGAGAGTTGTGAGGGCAGAAGGGGAAAGGTGGGTCTGATGGGGGAAATGGAAAGCGAGAAGGTACAAAAATGATGTTGCCATGGCATGGCATGGCATGGCATCCGTGTTTCATCCACTTACCACCACGTTCCCTTCCCCATGCCGAACACTCGAGCCGCTACCATCCCCCTTGTCGTCTCCTCCCTCGCCTCCTCTCCCCTCCCCCCCTCCACCAGCCGCCCCTCCCTGCTTGCCCTGCCACTTGTCCTTCTGCCTCCTCCACCTCCTCATCTGCAATTGACCAAGGAGTCAACAAGAGTTGACTTTTGAGTCGACTCATGACTTTTGAGTCGACTCATGACTTTTGAGTCGACTCAAAAGTCTCCTCATCTGCAATTGACCAAGGAGTCAACAAGAGAAGCATTGTGAGTGAGGGGGAGGGTGGGAAGGGGCAAGTGACTTACCTACCATGCATCTAAAAAAAAAGGGAAGAAATGGGTATTCTGACTCACTCTAATGCACTGAAGTAATGGAAGGGTTGAAGGTCTCTTTCACAACATAACACAGTAGTGAAACGGCAAAACGGGAATATTAACTAACTCGTGCATTGATGAACCAGCAGTTGACCTGCGTGTCCCTCAGCCCTGAGTTTGCTGCTAGCTCCGCCTTCTCCCTCTGCTCGATCAGTGGGGGAGGAGGATGAGGAGCGGGAGAGAGGAACAGGAGAGGAGGGAATAGGAAGGAAGGAAGCCGTGTGGCACGGAGGAGGACAAGAGAGATGAGAGCATGGCGGAATAAAGGCGACCACTTTGTTTCAGTGGAGTGCTGGTGGGGGCTTGGGGCGAATTATCAGTAAATTGGGACTGAAATGAAGGCCCAGCAACACTGAAGGGTGGTATCCCGGTTGAGTGTGAGACTGGGTGGTAATTCAAAGTGAAGAGCGGTGGAGATGGATAGTACCTCGGTGGGGTAGGGGTGGTGGAGGTGCGAGAGGAACCACGAGTTGAGGCAGTCGACCGCCTCCTTGGAAAACTTGGTGCGTGGGCCCTTGCGCCGGATAGGTTCATCCTGATGGGTGATAGCGGGGCAAGAGACAAGGAGAGAAGGCAGAGCAGGGAGGGATGAGTTGAGGCAGTCGACCGCCTCCTTGGAAAACTTGGTGCGTGGGCCTGGGCCCTTGCGCCGGATAGGTTCATCCTGATGGGTGATAGCGGGGCAAGAGACAAGGAGAGAAGGCAGAGCAGGGAGGGATGAGTTGAGGCAGTCGACCGCCTCCTTGGAAAACTTGGTGCGTGGGCCCTTGCGCCGGATAGGTTCATCCTGATGGGTGATAGCGGGGCAAGAGACAAGGAGAGAAGGCAGAGCAGGGAGGGATGAGTTGAGGCAGTCGACCGCCTCCTTGGAAAACTTGGTGCGTGGGCCCTTGCGCCAGATAGGTTCATCCTGATGGGCGATAGCGGGGCAAGAGACAAGGAGAGAAGGCAGAGCAGGGAGGGATGAGTTGAGGCAGTCGACCGCCTCCTTGGAAAACTTGGCGCGCGGGCCCTTGCGACGGATAGGCTCGTCCTGATGGGTGGTGAGCGGTGATGGGCGGTTAAGGGTTAAGAGACAAGGCAGAGAGAGGAGGCAGAGAACGGAGGGATGAGTTGGGCAGCTGATTTGTGGGATCCAGGCAGTTGAAAAAAGCAATAGAGAGGATGCATACATGGAGCAGGCAAGGAAAAGGGAGAAGGGAATAGCTAAAAAAAACAAAAGGAGAGAAAGGGGGTGTACCTGTTGTTCCGAATCCTGAGTGGCGTTTCCCTGCCCATCTTCGTCCGCCCCTTCTGCTGCCTCTGTACCATCGTCACCACCACCACCGTTGCTACCAGCAGCAGCCCTAGCAGCAGGAGTCCCACCAACAGCAATGGAAGCGCCAAAATCTGCACCGGCAGTTGCAGCAGAGGTAGGCACAGCAGGGGAGAAAGGAGGAAGAGTGCCAATGGGGGTGGGGGGAGGCAGGGGAAGAGGGGCACGCATGGGTGGGGGAGTGGAGGGTGGGGGGGCAGACCGAGGGACCGGAGGTGCGTAGTAGGTGTTTTGTGCCTGCTGCTGCATTGCCTGCTGCTGTTGCTGCTGCTGCTGATATGACTGTTGCTGCTGCTGCGGCTGATAACACTGCTGGTAAGAGTGGTGCTGTTGCTTTTCTTGCCGCTGTTGTGGTTGCTGCTGCTGCTGCTGCTGCTGCTGCTGCTGCTGCTGCTGCTGCTGCTGCTGCTGCTGCTGCTGCTGCTGCTGCTGCTGCTGCTGCTGCTGCTGCTGCTGCTGCTGCAGGATATGCTGCTGTTGCTGGCGATACTGCATTCGCTGCTGCTGCAAATATCCCTGCTGACTCGGCTGAACGTGTTGCTGATGTGTCTGCGGCACCCCCTGTTGCTGCTGCTGCTGCTGTGAAATCATGGCACCTGAAAAGTGCCTCTTAACGGGTGTGATTGTACCGAGGTTAGAGGAGCCCCATCCCCCATGTCCACCACCCCCTGACTGTGCCACGTGGACAACAGGACTCCTCTGGCTTTGTGACACGTCAGACCGAGGCAACTCAGCTTGGGTCACGCCAAGGTGACGCGGAGCGCTTTCTCGAGACATCATGAAATCCCCTTGGCGTTCGTACGCGACATAAGCATCCCCGCGCACTCGCTTCAGCTGCTGCTGCGACGCATCCTGCGACCACCCTTGCTCTTGCACCTGCTGCACCCGCTGCGGCTGCTGCTGCTGCTGCTGCTGCTGCTGCTGCTGCTGCTGCTGCTGCTGCTGCTGCTGCTGCTGCTGCTGCTGCTGCTGCTGCTGCTGCTGCTGCTGCTGCTGCTGCTGCTGCTGCTGCTGCTGCTGCTGCTGCTGCTGCTGCTGCTGCTGCTGCTGCTGCTGCGGTTGCCACACGTTAGGCTGGTTCTGCTGCAGCGCCTGCGGCGGCGCGGCCAGGATTTGCGCCGGCCATTCCGCTTGCGGAGGCGGCGGAAGGGAACGGGGGGGAGGCGGAGGTGGAGCGGGGAACGGCGGAGAGGAAGAAGCGGGGGAGACGACAAGCGGGGACGCGGGCTGCGGAAGCGGAAGACCCGCGCAAGGGGGCACGTGAGGCGCGCCGTAATCTCCGCAATACCCCCCTGTCACAGCAGAAACGCCGTAAAAGCTGACCGCTGGCGGCTGGGAAGGACCGGCGGGATGGCTTGGCGGGAGCGCGGGCGGCGGAAGGGTTGGCTGCGGCGAATCGTACGAGGACTGCGCAAATTGGATGTTACCCGCACCGGCGCTTGCGGAATAAGCGGCGGGATTGACGGGGGGAACCGCGACGGGCTGCGCGTTTGGCTGAGAAGAGTGGGTCAGAAACCCGCTGGTAGACCCTGGCGACAATTGGTCGCCGCGGTGGTAAGCGAAGTTACCTGTGGCGACGTTCTGCTGATGGTTACCGCTGGTGTTACATTTGAACTGCTGCTGCGACTGTTGTTGCTGGAACTGCGGCTCGAGTTGCGCTTGCAGCGGCTGCTGCTGCTGTAATGGTTGCTGCTGTTGATGAGAGAATTCGCCATAGTTACGATAATTGGAAGAGGCAACGCCCGCCCTGGGCTCTGACGCAGAACCCAGAACACCTGTATTCAAGTTTTGGTAACCTGTCGCGGACCCAACAACAACGGGTGCGAAATCAATGTCGTCAAGCATCGAAGCGAAGAAACCATCGTCAGCGAGAGCTGCTTCTGGAGTTACCACATTTTCGCAACCCAACCCCCTTCCTTTCTCCCCTCCCGTGCCCCGCATTACATTTCCACTCCCAACTCTTCCCTCAACACCAACGTCCGAGATTCTCCCGTCAAATTGCATGCCTTGATTCTGCTGCTGCTGGGAGAAATTGGCGACGCTTGGATCACCATGTTGCTGAGTTGGCGCGGAGTTGAGGAGATTCTCGTCGGCTTTCACGGCCGCGTACGCGCTTCCAGCTGCTTCGGACGCTCCAGCGAAGCTCGAAGCTGGGTGATTCGCAAAATCCACTTCAGTGACACGTGGCGACGGTTTGCAGTCAGAGGCGAACGTGGCGGCGTCGTGAGAGGCGGCAGTGCTTCGATTAGAGGGGCGATGGTAGTGGACGAGTTCCGCGCCTGTAGCGGGAATAGACGTGGGATCCGCGTGGTGGAGCAGCAGCGATTGGTCGCCCTTGCCAGGCTCGTAAATGGAAAACGATCTGCCAAAAGCGTTAGTATTATTGTTAGCCAGCGCACCAGCAGTGGTCTGCGTTGGATGAGGAAGAAACAGAGACTCGTCAAGGTTATCGGGGGCATTGCTAGCGAGGATGTCCGCGCTGACGCTCCCTGGCGCAATCAGGGGCATCTGGACGGCAGCTGCCGCGTTGACATCACTGGCACACGCCGCGGATAGCGGGAGTTTCTGTGCGTTGAATCCTCGATCGTTGCCTGCACTGCACAACCTAAGATGAGATGGACGCTCAGGAGATGGGGAACTAGACGCTTCTAGTCTTAACGCAGCCTCAGCGTGAGAGCTGGTGTTTCCACTGTCTGGATCGTTGCGAGGCTGCTGAATGAGGCAAAAAATATCCTCGGCCATGTAATAAGGCCCGGGGATGTCGAGGAGAGGCTCTGAGTCCTGGAACGGCCTGATGCTAAGACAGCTACTACTGCCCACGGCGTTCATTGGAGCAGTCGTAAGAATGATCACGCTCTGGAGCAAGTATGGGCATCCAGGGCGATTTGTGGAGCAGGAAACGTAAGAGTGATGAATTCTTTGCTGCCTCTGCGGAATGGACCTTATGAGAGGCTTTAGGAGGCTTAAGATCGGATAAGGCGGCGACGGAGGTGGATAAGGAGCTTCGGATTAAGCTTAGGAGCGAAAAACACGATGCAGACACATGACGGGTTTTTCGCTGGTGCAGGCATGAGTGATATCGGAGGGAGGGCTTTGGTTGGGTTGGGTTTGGGTGCAAGCACAATTCCCAAGCTGATCAATTTCGGCTTTCGGACCGCGATCACAACCGAGTCGCCTGCCTCGAGAATCTCGGCGACGGGAGGTTTGGTTTGGGTGCAATCGAAATTGGGGATCTGGCCTGGTAACCAGCCGTGATTTCAATTCGCGGGGAACGTAGGCTCGGGTTCTGGGGACACCGCCCCTCATTGGCACAAGTGCTCGCAACTTTCGGACACGTGTGGCCTAGTAAGCGAAGGGCCTATGCCTACTGGTTTGCATTATTAACTGTACTGGTTATAGTTGCTTTTTTTTTGCGTGTACTCTCCACGTGTAGACAAAATGTTGGTTGAATGCCACATGGACCACAAGAGTATAGCATGTAATGGAGGCAGCCGCACCACGTCACTCCCCAGTCAGTGGTCCTCCTGTGCCACATAATGTTGACGTCACCCCCCTCGCATTCGCTGTCGCTAAATTCGCAAAAACTACAGAGGCTGTAACACAACATGCACCAGATTCCATCCCACCACTTCAAAATTCTAGAGACGAGAGTAAGCGAAATTTCGCTAGAGTCTCAACTTTCGCATACTGTATCTCGCCCCAGAGAACACCGTGACACAAGGCAAGTCTACTGCTGACGTGGGCGAAGGACGTCCCTCGATCTTTCGTGACTGACGGACTTCCAAGAATATTCGTTTCAAACGACAGCTTCCTGACTGACCTGGGGCGCGAGTGCGATTACCGCTCAATTACTAATTTGCTCGCCAGTTGTCACTTAGATTTCGATTCTTCTCTGTATTAGCGCCTCTACCGCTCGATATCCTACTCCCTCGACTTATTTCATCGGACGCCCTCTAAGCGTTTAGAGCCAGCCTTGTTCTGCTCGGCTTTTCTCTTGCGCCATCATGCAGGTTCGTGCTCCTGGATTTCCGAAAGCTCTAGCTCATCATTTAACGTTGCAGTTCAGTCTTACCGTAGTTACGCACTGTTTCAAATGTCGAGTTTTTACTTCAATCGTTACTTCAATCGTCACCGCCGCGCCCGTTCATTCCGCGCAGGTCCTGCGCAACGCGTTGTTCACTAGAAGCGTTCTTTTCTCTACGACCTCCATCCCTCCGCGCACCCGTCCATTCCGCGCAGGTCCTGCGCAACGCATTGTTCACTAGAGGCGTTCTTTTCTTTACGACCTCCATCCCTCCACGCACCCGTCCATTCCGTGCAGGTCCTGCGCAACGCGTTGTTCCTCGCGTACGGCAACGCCAACTTCACTCGAAGCGCTTTCCTGTACGGCCTCTCCTTCGTTACTCGCCCCCCGTGTCGTCGCCCCTAGCTTCCCTTGTCGTCACTCCAAGCCCCTCGAATCTTCCCCCCTAGCCTACCATGTCTAAACCTCTAGCCGCCTTGTCGTCACTCCTAGCCATTCCCGTCACGCCCCCATTCCTTCTCGTATCCCACCACCACCACCACCACCACCACCACCACCACCAGGAAACATGCCAAGTCGTTTGACGATGCTGACAAACAGACAGCCACAGGTGATCTTTGTGGTTACTCATGATTCACAATTTCATACATACAAATGTTATTCTTAAACCGCCCCCGGCGTTTCTTCTCACCCA